ACCCCCCCCAGCTTATATACTGAGCATGATGTCATATGGTATGGATTAGCCCTTTGGTCAGTTTGGATCAACTATTCTGGCTGTGCCCCCTCCCAGTTTCTTGTGCACCTGGCAGAGCATGGGAAGCTGAAAAGTCCTTGACTAGCATACGCAGTACTTAGCAACAACTAAAAACATCAGTGTGTTATCAACATTCTTCTCATCCTAAATCCAGAACACAGCACTATGCCAGCTACTAGGAAGAAAATTAACTCTATCCCAGCCAAAACCAGGACAACTTGCGTGAAAGAGGACTGAGGACCGCAGGTGGGTCTCAGTCAATTAGTTTCTCTAGTTACACAGAAAGAAAATCAGTACCAGAAAAAAAACCCACGCTGCTTTTGTTCAAAATGCAGAAAGACAAGATGCTTGACAGGTGGGAATTCCTAAACTGCAAATGCAAAATACATCTACATACATGTGCGTATATATATACATATCTGTATTTCAAAATTTTTAAATTGGTGTAAAAAAAGTATCTACCAGTGTTCTTCTTAATTTAAAAAGGTAAGGTGTTTAAAAGATGGTCGAAGGTTTAACGTCTTTAAAAGGCATTCTGAGCTATTAAAGAAATTGTCACTTGTTGGAGGCTGATGTACGTGTCACCATAAAGACTGCTCCATTCAAAACCCAAGGTGACCGTGACCCCATGTTGCCTGTGGAACTGTGGCTGTCTGAAGGGCACACGTCCTCTTGACAAAAGAGAGGAAAATTTAATAGATACAACACAAAAAATGCATGAGAGTATAGAAAACCAAGAAGAATACAACAAAAAATAGCAGAACACTTGTTAAACCAGAAAGTCCTCATCAGAAGAAATCGTAGGTGATTTTGCTGACCAAGAGTAAGCTTTTTCAGCATTCTTCAGCTTATGAATTTCTAAATATTTCTAAGACCCGCCCCCCTCAGAAATTCTGTATCTATATATTGTTGCCAACTGCATATGAGTTTGTTTAACATAGCTCTCCCTAATGAATGACCAGACTTTCAGGCTATGAATGGCAAAGCTTAACTCAACAGCAACCTCTGTTTCACATTATTTTAAATGTCAGGCAAACTTTCTGCTCCCAACCAATGAAGTATTTTGCCCATTGCAACTGAGTCCCTTTGGCAGCACGATGGTGACGTGGAGCTGTGTCCTATTTTGTTCAGTAGTGTCCAATGTGATCAGCTGATGGCATGAAAACACAGTTTATAAGAGCCTGGTGTCCCAGCCAAGCATCCCATGTTTTTCTTAAGTCATGCCAGTACTAAGCTATTATGTTATTTGCCAGTCTGGTCCTATAATTTCTGATGCTTTCTGTATTCCACACAGACTTCAGCATCAAGAAGTTCTTATTTTTTGTGGTGGCTATTGTATTTGTGCATATACCCTAAGTATTCTGAATGTGAAGTTCTGCAAATCTGTATTTTACAGATTTTTACAGCACAAGGAACTCACTGTACATCCTCTAATACAATTTATTGTAAAGTTTTGGTCCTTGCAGTCAAAATACTTGAGCTAATGTGCTGTTTAGTACTGACATGTATCATTTTGTACCTAACCCCAAATCACTAGGCTTGTTGACTGTTCCTCAGGGAGCAGGGTGGAGAAGCCTTCCCAGTGTCTCCAACAGTAGTAACCGCAGACTAGACCACTCGGCGTGGAGCCTGTCACTGCCCATC